GTTGTTGCGCTGTGTAGTCTGGTCGATGTTTACCAACGTTTCAGAGGTCATACTGCCTCCGTCATCAGGGCGATGAGTATGAAGATTTCTGTCTTCTGGGTTGTTGCGCTGTGTAGTCTGGTCGATGTTTACCAACGCTTCAGAGGTCATACTGCCTCCGTCATCAGGGTGACGAACGTTGGTTAACATCGACCAGACTACACAGCGCAACAACCCAGAAGACAGAAATCTTCATACTCACCGTTGTGAAAACCTCAAATCTTACTTAGATTATTTTCTCCCTCATGTAGTACAGTACCTGAAATACCTTTCTGCCAGTAAAGTTTTAAGCAGAATGCTAGGAGCAAGTCAGTTGTATGACTGAGTAATAATGTTTCATCATCTGCCACCAAGAAGTACACTTCATGTGGAGAAAGCTGTATCTGATATATATATACTTCCTTAGCAGGTGGTGATAATCTTGAAAACCAGTTTTTTTTTAAAAAAAAAAGATCAGTGTTTGATCATAATAATCGCAACTAAAGATAACTAATTCATTGGGAATTAAACTACAGCAGCCTCCTGCATGGGAAACAATGTCTTTCATACATCTTACACCATTGGTCCCCAACGCGGTGCCTGCCAAGGTTTTTTTTGGGTGCCTGCGTTGTTACGGAAAGAGGTTATACTGATCAATGAAGGCCGTTCAACCATGAACATTATAAAATCAAAGCGCAGATCTCGACTTATTGACGCCCATCTTGACGATTGTTTGCGAGCAGCAACATCATCCTACACTCCCAAATTTGAAAAACTGGCCGATGAAATGCAGCGCCAAACATCACACTAACTTCCCACTTGAGTAATATTAATTGTACTTACAAAACTACGTATTCTTGATTGCGCGGTTTCTTGTATCATTAAACGTCGTGTTGTTTTGTGTATTATTTGGTGTCCATATCTTATTTGTCCAGAGAAACGAAAATTTTGCTTTGTTAATTGGTTGGTGCCCACCATGATCTCATAAACTCTCAAATGTGCCCGTAGGCACAAAAAGGTTGGGGATCACTGTCATACACCATCCTGTTGCATCTTGCCACTTCCCACATAAATCCAAGTTCCGTCACAATCTTTCTTAAGCTAGTCATAACGCATTTTAAATTAATCCTGGAAGTAGTTTAGTGATGGTTTACCTAATTTTTCCTTGCACACAAATGTCATGAATTATGTGCTGAAAGACACGTATCGAAAATCTCCATGTCTATCACCCATTTTGGCACTTCATATGTCTTTGCCAGACACATTGAATCAAGTTCCTTGTGCTCGTGCTTTTTCTGCACTCCTAAACTACTTCTATCGCTCTTTCAGAACTTCTTCACTTTGAACGGGTTTTCTGTAGGCTAATGTTTGTTCCTGTATTAAGTATGATGACCAATTGTGTTTAATGTGCTATTAATATAGTTTGCATATTTTGCATATTGTTCTTACTGTAAATAAACTAAAACATTTCTCAGTCAGTCCATGGCATTTGACTTCATATTCTTTGGGATGCCAGAAAACATATCAAAATATAAATGTTAACAAGCTGGGTAGTTTTAATGTTAAAGCAAAGTCCATGGATTATTATTACACAACAATACCTTAATTAGAACTGGTGGAAATAATTAATTCCACAATTGTTTTTATGTTTTAAGCAAAAATGGCCTGTGATATAAGGAATATCATGTCTTTCAAATTAATATCTAAAGTTTAAAATTTTCAACCAGATTTAATATACACAGAACATTTGTTTACATACAGAAAGATGTCAGTATATAAGTCAGCATATAACTTAATTATTTCTTCTTACAGATTTCGTCAGGAAAGAAACCGCCTCCGTGATGGTAGTCATATGATCACAAGTCAAAAGCATTTGCCTGACATTTCTGGAAAAATGTACCGCAGACAAGCAATGCTTTCAGAGCCTCCCACTAATGATGACAGACTTTCTCCAATCAAGTTATCACCTTCTGAAGAAACAGCACGCTTGTCTTCTAGAAGACGAGCACCTTCTGTAGCAGCATCAATCTCAGCCTTTTACCAAACAGCCCGTCCTAAATCAGACAAACTGGATGCAAGGTCTTCTAAACGAAAGAGATTAGCTAAAAATATGCCAGTTTCTCGTAAAGGGATGCAATCTGCTGATATACTTGCAAGCCCTCCCAAGCGCTTTCCTAAACAGAAGGTAACTGATGAAATACAAGCAGCCCTTCGTGAACAGAAGATACCTTTTAACATAAACTCTTGAGATGGAAGGGATCAGTTGGAACATAAGTAGGCTGCCGTAAACAGAAAGTGTCAAATACAGAATCCTAAAGAGAAGGGACCAGCTAAGTAAGTTTTAGCCTCATCTAAAGATAATGGATCAGATTAAAATGTTTGAGGCCCTTCTGATGAACTTATCATCCGGCTCCCCTGAATGAAAAACAGTATTTTAGTTCCAAGAGTACAGAACCAATGATGTTCACAATATTAAAATTTCAGATTCTCACAGTAGACAGTATGAAGTTTACTGTATCTTATGGGTCGTTGTACCATGTCAGCTGATGATTCAGGGATGTTTCCTGATGCCACCATTTGGGTGATGAGTAAGCTGCATGTGGATGAACTTGGCCAGATGGATGGCCTTGGGGAAGATAGGGGTGAGGACAGATGGAGCAAGGTAGCCATTGGGAGAGTTGGGGGCCCGCAGTCTGGCCAAATGGGGGGGAGGGGGCAGGCACTGCCTCCTTGACTGGCTCAGGTGGAGACCATCCTCCTTGTTAATGATTTTAGGTTGTAGCTTGATCTGATTTTTCTCCCTGATCATATTATGTTGTCCTACCATCCTGTCCACCAAATCCAAATACATGAACCAAATTATCATGGAGGCCAATGAAATTTAGCTACATCCTAACCATAAAAACATGGAGGATTGGCTCTGCCTGAACTGGTTGTGGACGAGACTCATTGAACGTATGCAAGAAGCCTCTGCCACTGAGGCTGTGCTTGTCTGGCCCCTTTGGCCAAGCTGTGTTAACCCAACTCTCCCAGTGGCTCCCTTGCTCTGTCTGACCTCACTTCTACCCTCAACCCTCATCCATTTGTCTAGCCAAGTTTTGACCTTGTTCAGCTAATTCTTATCTTCATCTGCTTCTCTGTGTACTCATTGCTGTGATGATGCATGCAGTAAAAGCACCTCTGAAATGCTGATCAGTTTTGATGCAACAAGACAGTTATCGACATGTTTAAATGGTGTTAAGGTAACAAATGAATATATATGATGTGCAGCTTTCATAATGAAATAAAAAGAATTCTTCCCAGGCTACCAGCCGTGTAAGGTGGTTTAATGGAGAAAACACCAACATTTTGAGAACTATCTTCTTTCTCATCCTCACGGTACCCTGAAGACGAAGGTGGTTCTTGAAATGTTGGTGTTTTCTGTTTCATTATTAACAGATGAATCAGTTACTGTAAGACTTTTACTAGAAAAAATAAAAAGTTATATGATGTTGTTTTAATATTACTGGTTCTATAACAAATAAGGGTGCAGTTTTCATGATTGTAAGATAACTTTTAATTAGTTTTTTTTTAAATATAATTGTCACATATGTTGAACAAGACTAGATTATGACTACTGGCTTTAAAATGACTGAATTCATCCCATAACAAAATGAGGAATCTAAAAGAATGCATACACAGTTTTCTTTGTATTCTGTACTCTTATTTTAAAACCAGTATAGCTTATTTGGTGCTATGACTAGGATTCACCTCTTGACAGAGTCTTGAGATGTTTCTTTTCACCATCTTAGTCAGTGTTGCACAAAATTTCCTTTGTGTAGAACATGAATAAGTTTACAGTAGAGGATAAGATGATTTTATATGAATCTTACATAAAGTGTACCTCTGCTAAGAGGTGTTTGAAGAATTCTACTCAGCATCTTGTCAGTAAAGTAAGAACAACTGGCATATTGACATATAGGTAACAAAAATTCAACATCATGTATTAATAGAACAAAATTTGTATGAAATCAGAGTTAGCATTCACTTGGCTGTGAAGTTCCTCACACAAAAAACAATAGTATAGAAAGTGACCAAGAAAACCACTACAGCCTTTCAGAGCAATGATTGCATTCTTAGTGCTGCCACGTGATATGTAGTATCCTCCATCATAGATATTTAAAAACAAAAGCATTTCACACTGATGCATAACTTAAATAATTTGTCTTGGAGAGTGGCATGTATCCAGAGAACTATAGCATGTGAGTTAAAATCTCTTTAGAAGTTGTGTATGGTTATAAAGTGCCTGTAAACAACTGGATTGCAGCCCACTCTTCTGTCAATATTTATTACATCCAACTCACCACCTAGTGTCTGCTGTACATATGGCTCTTAGAAAATCGCCAACCAGTAAACAATCGCAAGTCAGAGCATGGAGCACCGTATTAACAAGGATTCCTCCTTACAATTTCAGCATGCTTCACAAGATTTATTATAGTGTGTCATGTAGTCCTATCCCTCTTCTAGTCCTAGTTACCCCAGTTTTTTTGTATTTGTTCTTCCACCAGCCACAGCAGACATGGCGTAACAAATCAGAAGACAACCATCATCGGACTCACCGCCGTTAAAACCTCAAACCCTACATCATCAACTTTTTATTAAGTACTTTCACAAGAATTTTTTTCCTTCAAGTAAACATTGTAGGACTTGTGATTCTTTCTGCATTGAATACGAAGATGTCTGTCTTCATGTTGTAGCTTAGTATAGTTGGTAGAAGTTAACCAACGTTTCGAGGTTCTAGCTGCCTCCATCATCAGTGCGATGAGAAGCCGCGGTATTAACCATCCAACCACAAAGGTAATGAAATGCGATGTTTTATAAACCATTAGAGGGGATGTGCTTGCGGAATTGGGATTCTCGTCCTGATTGAAGACCCTGACATGCTAATAGTAGCGTCTATGCTACTTGCAGGAGGTATCCCATCATCATTTTTCTTTCAGTTACTACATCCGCTCTTTGCCTCTGGACGCAACGTCTTGTTCACCTCTTTGGAATCTCTCGGTCCTTGTCGTCGTTTTCTGGCTAAACGAGTGGTCGGTCGGGCTAGGCTAGGATTGTTTCTCGTTCTCTGTGATCTATAGTGCTGCCATTGTCAGAGTATTCTGTACCGGTTATGACGTAGTTATAAGGGTTTTCAAATACAATAACTATGCAAATGGGAAGGAAACTACGAACAAATAAGAAATGTATATCAATATGCTGGACCACGAATTACTACTGTGTTGCAGAACCTTGACGAAGGCTCTAACCCTGAAGATTTGCTTGATTTTGGATATAAACTGTATTACAGGTTATCAACAACCAACACAGTATTATCTGTACCTATCTGTGAGACTATGTGACACGTGGTCGTTGCTTGAACTAGTTTTGTAAGTTGTCTGTGGGTTCTAAGCAGCAATGTTGTTGGGGGATGATTCAGATACTGAGGTGAAAATCGAAATTAATGAAAGTTACGCAGGACGCTATAATTCGTGGAGGCAGAAAGAAGAATTTCAAAAGTGTAAGTGATCAGTAGTTTAGACTTTGAGCGTTGTAATTAAGCTTAGAAAGTTACATAGGCAGTTCATGCGTGGTGTTATCGTGAAGAGGTAACCTATGTAACACGAATTATCTGTAAATTATAAATTTTGATTGCCCTTATATCTATGCCCAAAACTGTAATAATTTATGATGCATTAATGAGCTTTAGCACAATTTGTGTACAGGCTCCCCACCTGTCTGCGACCTCAAATGTTTCATTTTAACGTATACAAAAAATGTTTCAAATAAAATGTAGAGTCGAATGGGGTATACGTTACAGAGTAAAATATTATGAAATCGTTGTTATGATGATGTCAGGGCTACTTTCTGTTTTTCAATGGAGCCCTTTTTCATTTTTTATGTCAGAGTTACAATCAAATTTGAAATGAGTTCACACAACACATTGGATTTTGATGAACCAATTGTGAGATGTCTAGCTATTGCTAAGTGCAGAGTACAACTCCTGTGAAACCAAAATATAGTGTAGTGTTACTTATTATGGTTTTGTAATTATCTCAACTTCATGATTTGTTTTAAAAGCATTTTTGATTACATGAATTAATTCCCTTTTTGCCACTGATGAAGACCTCTTGTGGTCGAAATGTGTTTGGCACTAGCATCATTTATAGTGTTAATAGTTGTTTGTTTGCTCATTCTATATTTGAATAGAATGATTATAGGAAATTAAATATGCAAATTAAGAAATTAAATATGCAAATTAAGAAATTAAATAATCGTTAATACACATAATTTTCTGTAATCTAGTAATTAGTTTTCCATTTTTATGATAATTTTGAATTTTCATACAATAAAAGAAAGCTGCGAGCACCAAAAGGTTGAGAAGTACTGTGATAGAAGTTCATGGTTGGCAATACTGAATAATATTAGGAGGGAAAAGTCAGTGCAATTTTGGTGGTTTCTGGTTCTTAGAAGTGTTGTATGTAGTTAACATGAAGGTTGTAAGAATGACTGATGAAGAGCACGTAAGTTATATAAAATCATGCATACAAAGAAAAACTATTTACACTTTGAAAAGACACTCTTGAACTCTTGAGGTTGAAACACGTTTGGCACTAAGTGTCTTTTCAAAGTGTAAATTGTTTTTGTTTGTATGCATGATTTTATATATCAATACACTGCATGGTATGCAAGGTTTTAAGACATAAGTTAGTAACAAGTGGAATTTTGTGTGTTCTCCAGCATCATGAACAGTGTAGTTTTCTTAACACTTCACTAGACAGAGGTGTAAATTATTTTCACTTTATATTTTATTAATTATATACAATCTTGAAACATTTTTGAGTGTAATGTTATACATTTTAGGTGTATTTCATGTTGTGTGCTCTTTTTTTTCCCCCAGTGAAAATAAAAATTGTTTGACTTTTGTTGGACTGATTGAGGTGAAGATTAAATTTGTGTGAGAATCTTAAATATTTATACTCCCATTACCAAATCTAATAAAGAACTATTGAATGAGACCTGGAATGTCAAGGCATGACCTGCCTATTTTGCATCCATATTATGCGTGTCATGCAAACAGTGAATACAGTTGATCTTTGGTCTCCTTATCACGGATGAGATGGTACACATTTGTAGTGTTGTCTTTTTAACAGTATGATTGATGATCTATTTTCAGTGAAAGATCGATATGGAGAGGCATCAGCAACAGTCCCTTACAAGTCTAGTGATGATTCCAGTTCATCTGAAGAAGATGAGCATGCGGGACATCTTACGCAGCAATTAGAAAAAGATTTCTTTAAAACATTATCATGTTTAAAGAAAAAAGATCCTTCTATATATGATGAGAAGGTTTCATTTTTTGCTAATACCAGTTCGTCAGAACAACGAGGACAAATTGTTGGCGTAAAGAAAAGTGATCAGAAGCAATTGTTCCTCAGAGATTACGAAAGGAAACTTATATTAGAGCATGATGGTCAGCCTGTTGATGATGGTAAGTTGATATTGTTACAGAGAAATTAAATATGATGTGGATTCTGCATTACTTAAAGAACATATTTTGAATATCCTATGTTAAAAAGGGCATGAGGAATGTCGTGTTACTGCAGTGCTGGTGGTCAAAGTCGGAACAATTGAAAAAGGCAGATTTTATGCCTCTGAATTCATGTTAAAACATCAGAATTTCATTTATGAGGAAATTAGATCTGTGATATTTAAGCATACAGTTGATAGCCGTACTCTGCTTTTGTCAGTTGCGTACATTTAATTCCTTAAGCATATATGTCGTTTTTTCACGTTGCACAATTATATGTAGTGAAGAATGTCTTCCCAACAGAGAATGAAGACAGTAAGTGCAGTATAAGATTACGGCCAGAATCACCAACGGTAGTTGAAGAGGAGAATCTCATTAAGGAAAGTCTGAGAGGAGCATTGAGGGATTCTGATGATGAAGGTAATGAAATGTGGGGTGGACTTTTTCAAAAGCGACACAAGACGGAAGCAGAAGTGGTACGTATAGCTCTTGGCAGAGTACATACACAATTTAATTTATGGTTGGTATGCAACCAACATTTAGTTTCAGACGGAGCAGTGAGCCATAATTAATTTTTGCCTGGTGATCTTCCTCTCAGGGTTCTCAGGGCTGAAATAACAGGATCAGGGGATGGGATTGTCACCCTCGGTGGACTAGTGGTTAGCGTGCTCGCCACTGGATCCAATGTTTGCAGGTTCGAACCTGGCCGAGGTTGATGGATTTTTAAGGGTGATAAAAATCCATAGCACAACTTCCTTTGGAGGGGAAGTAAAGCCGGCGGTCCCATGTCGTAGATTTACGGCATGTAAAAAACCTTACAAGCATGAACAAGATGTTTGGGCGTCAGTAAGTCGAGATCTGTGCTTTGATTTCACAATGTTCATGGTTGAACGGCCTTCATTATTCAGTATAACCTCTTTCCGTAACAACGCGGGCACCCAATAAAGCCATGGCGCCCGCGGGCACCGCGTTGGGGACCACTGGATAACACCTTTCCAGTCTTGTTTGAACTAATTCCTTCTAGGTCTCCTACAGCCACATTGTAACACATGGTATCTTGGCTATCTCTTCAGAGGACAGCAAAACATTTCTGACATGGCATGGCACAATTAGCACACCCAACAGTGCATACATACACCCCCAGCTGTACTAAAGTGTATATTAGATTTATTTTCAGATATGCACCTAAATATAATTGATTTAAAAGAAACTGCTAATTTCACACTTCATACAATAGATTTTGGTCCTTGCCAAGTATATTGGGTAGGACAGGAGAAGGACTTGTTTGTTCTTTAAACAACACTAATGAACTGAAAATGAATTCCTGATGTAGTTTTAGAGACAGAAATTGAAGACTGGACTGGATTCATCTGGGCCATGGTAGAGATCATTAGTGGTCTTAAACACAGCTTTAGATCTACAGACATATTAATTATATTATCACAGTATTATAGCTGTTACATAGCAAGAAGCTTGAAATAAAGACTAGTTATTTGCGTAGGATTTGAGGTTTTTGCAACAGTAAGTCTGAAGATGGTTGTCTTCTGGGTTGTAGTGCCATGTAGTCTGGTGGAAGTTAGCAACGTTTCAGAGGTCCCTGCTGCCTCCGTCACAATTTCATGTGAGCAGCTTACTTATCGCCCTGTTGGAGGCAGCAAGGACCTCTGAAACGCTAACTTCTACCAGACTACATGGCGCTACAACGCAGAAGAATGTTTTTTTATGACATCTGTTTTGTGAGATTTGAGGTTTACATGGCAGTGAGGATGATGCTATTCTTGGTTTTGGCATTTGTTACTTTTGCCTAAGCCATTTTCTATCATTGTCATCAGAGATTCTTTTCGTTGAGAAACATTAATGTACAGATTGAGTAAGGTGTTTCTATAATGCTGATGGAAAGGATTAAGCATTTTGATTGCTTTTCATGATTGTGCATTTAAATTTTGGATAGATGTGTATTACCAGATTGTTTTGAGTGCCATTTCATCAATCTGAGATCTGTTCATGTCACCTGTGTTGCAGGAAAGAGAAGAGGAAGATTTCGGGGAATGGTTGAAAGGCCAGAAAGAAGAACTTTCAGATAAGAAAACAGAATCAGAGCTTAAATATTTGCGTGATTATTGGAATGATCCAGAACTTGATTCTGATGAATTATTTCTTAAGGATTACATTCTTAATAAAAGGTAGGTTTAAGCTTGTAGGTATTTAACTGTTCGTAGTATGCAGTTACCCATAACTGAAATACCAGCGGCTGCAGAGAGTTTTAGTTTTAAGTATGTTATTAAAAAATATGTAACTAATGTAATTTGTATGAAAGATGAATGCAATAAGAAAGGTCATAGTATCACATAGTATAATGTCAGATCAGAAAATGACCAAACAAAAGTGATATAAAGATATCCGTCTTCTGGGTTATTGCGCTGTGTAGTCTGGTCGATGTTAACCAACGTTTCAGAGGTCATACTGCCTCCGTCATCAGGGAGATCGCCCTGATGACAGAGGCAGTATGACCTCTGAAACGTTGGTTAACATCGACCAGACTACACAGCGCAACAACCCAGAAGACGGATATCTTCATACTCACCGCTGTGAGAACCTCAAGTCTTACAAAAGTGATATACTTGTTTTGTTTTAAATTTTTTGTATTCACTTTGAAGAAAGAACTCTCTTCTTCACATTATGGTTCTGTATTATAAAATCACGCACGTCTCAGATTTCTGCCTCTGCAGTGATCACTATTATTGTTTATGTGAGAGAATGCAGTTGGTGCTGCATCCACAGTTTCAACTGATTTCGTCCGTGAAGGCCCACATCTTGCCTATATTATCTGGAGATGAAGATGACATGCAGCCTTCAAGGCCAATATTTCTCAGAGGGACATTTTCTTTTTTGTCATCATAGCTGTGATTAGAAGTCTCTCACAAGGAAATTTTACAAGCCTTGCTCATTCATACATAGCTCATAACAGAGGAATTATGTACAGTTTCGTTTCATCTCACCATTGCGTCAAGACATTGACTGGAGGTTGATGAAACTGAAGCTCATCTAATATGTGATACCAATTGTGACTGCTGTACAGATGAGGAAGACGATGCTGTATATGACAAGGGCTGTGGAGATGAGGAGGACGAGGAAATTGGGCAACCATAATCGTGACAAATGCCAGAACATCATGACATAAGGGATTTCAGTACTTTTTTTGGTGAAGCCATGAAAATAAAATCCAACGAAGCTCCGTGTGTGAACGAGGATTCCACCTGATTCAGCATTCTATGCTATATTTTCCAGCAATTATTCTTCTGCTGGTGGAAGAGACAAACTAACATCACCAGTGCCTAGACAGATTTGATGACGGACATTTTCCAGTCCCTGACATCACCAATTCCAGGATGTTTTTGTTTCTAGGGATCATTGTTCAAATGGGACATGACATTATAGACAGACTAGGGACTCCTGGTTGACTGTTGAACAGTTTTTCCACACCATGTTAGCAGCACAGTGAAATGTGACCAGTTCTTGCACATTCTTAGTTTTTCTTACACTTCACAGACAGTAATACAGGCATTGACGAGCAAGCTAACGACTATGACCGTGTATGGAAAATTTGGGACTGTTTTTGACACTCTCTGTGATGTGTATGAAAAATATCTTCTGAACATCTAGTTGCGGATGAAGTTGTTCTAAAATTCAAAAGGAGGGTAATTTTAAAGCAGTACATTCCCAAGAAACATGACTGTTTCAGAATCAAAATCTTCAAGCTTTGCAATGCAGGAGGCTATACTTATGACATGAAGGTTTATTTAAAACGTTTTGACAAGGACTTGACAGCTATACATGCTTTGGTTAGGGACCTCTGCAAAAGGGTTGATGGGGTTGGCCATAAATTGTACACGGATAATTTCCTTTCTTCCCGAGACTTACTTGATGATCTGACTAGGAAGAAAATTAGTAGCAGCGGGACAGTCACACCTAATCACAATGGCTTGCCACAAGACTCAGACTGAAAGGGGAGACATTTGGGTTAAGGTGAGAGGTGACGTGGCAACATTAGTTTTGAAAGAAATTTACATATCCTGACAAACATGCACAGCCCTCCAGCAGAAGGCAATTTTTATAATGAGCATGGAAATGACATAAAACCAGCAATATTGGAGGACTGCAGTAAACATATGGGCTATGTGGACAAGAGTGAGAGGATGGCAAACAGTATTCCATCAGCTGCCAAAACTGGAAATTTAAGAAAAAAGTTTTCCATTTCTTGGATCTCACAAATCTGAACAGTTTCATCCTGTGGTGCAAGATTATCACACAGTAGACTTACCCTTGTCTGCTGTGAGGTGTCCTCCTCACCCTCAACATCTTGTAGATTGGCCACCTGCTATGTCTGCTAGAGCAGTGGTATTCAACCTTTTTTCATTTGCGTACCCCCCAGATATAATTTCTCTTCAACTTTGTACCCCCAAAGTTGTTGGTGTATAATTCAAGTTATACATAGCGTATAATCTACATCTAAAATAAATTAAATAAATTACATTACTGATTATTCAGTGTTTATCATAAAATAATATTTTTTTTAAATTTCACGCCCGGGGGTACGCGTACCCTAGGTTGAATACCACTGTGCTAGAGTGCCTTGCCTAGAGGAGACCAATTGAAGAGATATGTTTACTAATTGCACAAAGTATGACATCAATTTGTGTATTTTGTGGTGCTTTGAGGAGTAGCACAGCCAAGACAAGACCTAGTTAGGCAGTGAAGGGGTCAAGACTAAACTTACATAAAGGAGATAACAAGAAAAAGGTCTGCACTAGAATTTTAAATTGTTTAAATCTTTATTATTTATGACTTCATGCACCTTTACTAGCAGATTTTAAAAGCAAGTTTTCACGCGGCAGAGCTAATTAAAGGTTGCATTAAATGCACGAAAACATGCAGCAAGGAAGATAGAGGTTAAGAATGACAAATTAAATGGCAGTTCATTTTGTGAGCGTGGAATTATAAAAGGAATAATACGTTGTTGGATGAAAGAAGAAAAGAAATTATATCTGTTTTTTAGATTCTGTACAGGACAACATAAGTCTGTGAACACAGCAGTTTTTGAACTTTGTTAATTGGGTGTTTTATGTATAAGTTCTAGAGTGTATAACTGAATTTGTGTATCTCAAGCAGCTAAGGTTGTCTTTGTTGGTGAAATGTAAGATTTGTTGTATTCAGACAAACTTGTTAAGATATTGTAGTAATTGATATTTATTTTTGTCAGGTTTCTCGTGACCAGTAAAGATGATGGCTATGTACCAACGTATGATGAAATTGTTCATGACTCTGATGAGAACTTTTCTGAAGATGAGAAGACCATCGAGAAACAGGAAGAATTTGAACACAAGTTCAATTTTCGTTATGAAGAACCAGACAAAGAGTTTGTTAGTTCATTTTTATGCCTTTCAGCTACTTTGCACAGGATAACACTGCTTAAGTGTGTGGGAAAATATTATAAGATATAAATTATTTTCTTCTAGATCAAGCGATATCCACGAACAATGGAAAATTCTCTACGTAAACGTGATGATAGACGTAGAAGGAAACGACAGGAAATAAAAGAAAGGAAGGAAGCGGAAGAAGCCCGAAAGCGAGAGGAGTTAAAGAGGCTCAAAGCACTGAAAAGGAAGGAAATAATAGAGAAGATAGAAAAGTTGAAACAAGTCACAGGCAATGATGTAGTCGGTTTTAAGGTATGTCTTTTCAAAAGAAAATTCACTTTACATTCAACAAGTTCAGCCATATTTTAATATTCCACATTGCATTACATGGCTCATTGTTCTTGCACTCTCATTTTTAAACACGTTCATCTGGATCATCTGTTCAAATTGCTCTGTCTATATACATGAAACAACTTCAGAATAGATAAACCATTTTTGAAGAAGTTTGATCAAACTAATAATTTTCAGTGGACAGTACAGTACAGTACAAATTACAAAGCTCATAATTATGAGTGTTCTCCATCCTCATTTTAGTACTTCTGTCCGAGATCCAAACATTCTCAGTACAGTGATACCAAATGCCTCTCAGTTTTATTCTTTCTTTAGAGCGAAGAGAAACATTCACGCCCTTACAGAACAGCAGGTAAAATTACAGTACAACGTTCATCACTGTCATCACAAAATTTCATAATTTCTCTGTTGAGTAGTTGAGTGCTTAACCCTCAGACGTGGTTTTACGTGTACACACGCGGGCATTTAAATTAAAGTTCTTGTGGATTTACGTATAAACACGCGAGCCTCAAAGCCTAATTTAAAACGCCCATAAGTATGGAATAAATAACGCCAGCGCGATGAGGTTTGTTCTCGCCTGTTGTGGAAATAAAGCTCTATGTGTACACATGTGGCAACAGTGGTACATTCCATTGACCTGCAAGGGAGAGTCTAAAAATAAACGCCTGACC